TGTGTGTGTGTGTGTGTGTGTGTGTGTGTGTGTGTGTGTGTGTGTGTGTTCGTCTGTCCAGATATTTCAACTCGCCAACCATGCAAGCTTTGAAGGTGGAATTTTGCCAGTGTGTTCCCCGGTCAAGTGTCACTCCAGGACCGCGGTATCAACCCTCACGAACGCCTGAGCCTCGTGCATGACTAAGTCGAAGTTTTGGCGGGAAAACTGTTAACTCGCGGACGAGAAAAGCAAGAAAGCTGGGACTTTAAAGGAATGTTCCCAACTCATGTTCAAATAAAAGATTTCAAATTCAGTTCTTCTAGTGAGGTCTTTTTTGCGCATCAGCAACTTTTCATTTGTCGGGTCACTAAAGCCGACATCTACAAGTGATATACTAATTACCTGAACTTCGAAGGCCAGTATGTCACAAATTCTAGCTATCGTGATTCCTTACGATTATGCTACAGCACGAAATAGTGCAAAAACGCATGAACACACCGGCCCGCCTAGTGCGCCCCAGCCTAGGTTTGGAGTTGAGTCGTATGTTCATCTCTCGACAACAACCTGTAGTGAAATCCGGCCGCTTCGGTGGTGACAACTTTTGGTCACCTGATATTCCTCAATTCACCCAACCTCCGATTAATGATCGAACTCCACACGCTAAGTCAAAAAGTATGCAGAATACTACACCCTGTTCTTTAGTTTCTTCACTTCATGATGCTCCTCCTACGGCGTAGCACAGCGCACAATCTGCACAGATCTGTGCGATATTTACTATTTCGACACAAGTGGATCAAGCTCATATCGATCAAGCTTAAGTGACCAAAATGAGGCACAGTGTTTTCTTAGAATGCTCGGAGGTGCAGGTTTTGCAACCCTGACGTGCTTGGACATGATTCAGTCGTTCGACAACCCTATATCACTAAGAAGTTCCAGCATCCTAAATTCGTAGAAGACAGAAATGCATATTTTTTGTAATACATAAGCAATCCACAAAAAACGGACCAAGTGAGCATAAACTTTAACAAATACCGACGCGCACCAGGGAAACCGGTGCGACCATGCGTTTTATGCAATTCGGCACAGCGAACGCTTGCCTGCTAAGAATTTTTACTGCTTTGCACTTTGGTTTGTGCAAAAACAGTCGAAATACTTGGTTCCTACGTTGTGTTGTTTCCCATTTAAAATTTCACGCACCGGACCATGACAGCTGAATTTGGAATCTCGAAGTGTGAATATCCTTCCAAACCTCCTAATTTTCTGGCTTTACAGTGATTTTTGCAACAAAACTTTTATGTGATCGCACGCGAGATGTCGACATACTCTGGAACTGAATTCGAGTTTGTGAAGCCCCTGCTTAGGTAGGAGAAATTTTCAGCCTCCTAGCTCTTCAGATAATGATTTTTTCCCACAAAAATTTTCACAGGGACACTGAGAATTTGCGGAGTCATATGAGGGCAGGAAACGCCACGCTAAAATTTCAGCTTCCTAGCTCTCATGATCCCCGAGGTAATAATTTCCCCCGCTAAAACTTTTACGGAATTGTACGTGATCCCAAGGCGCAGGAAAGGCTAAATTGGAACTTGCGGGGTTGTACTTTTGGGCAGCGGACGTCACCCTAAAATTTTAGGTTGCAAACTTTCTTGGTTCCCGAGATAAGAATTTCCCCCGCCGAAACTTTCACGGGACCGTAAGTGACCCAGATACGCGGGAAAGCTGAATTTGAATTTGCGGGATTGTATGTACCCACACACAATTACCTCAAAATTTCAGCTTCCTGGCCTTTATGGTTACTGAAATAAAAATTACCCCTCCAAAATTTTCACGGGACCGTAGGCGATATCCGAGAGGGCTGGAACGCTGAATTTGAATTTGCGAGGTTGTACGTCGGAAAGAGATAATTACTCTAAAAATTTAACTTCCTAGATTTCATGGCTTCTGGGGTAATTTCCTCGCTAAGAATTTTGCGAGGCCGTATGTGTTGCGGGCGGGCGCAGAAAGGCTGAATTAAAATTTGAGAGGTCGCACGTAGACAGAAGACAACCACCTCAAATTTCAGCTTCCTAGATTTCGTGTTCCTGGGATAATAATTACCCCGCATTCACGGAACCGTACGTGTTACCCGCGGGCACGGGAAGGCTGAATTTAAATTTGAGAGGTCGCACACGGGCAAGAGGCAATCCCCTAAAACTTCAGCTTTCTAGCTTGTGTGGTCCCCGAGTTGAAAGTTGCGGACAAGTTGCTGCGGACACACTCACACATACACACAAACACACAGACAAACCCGTGACAACGTGCGTTTTCTGCAGTCATTGCACAGCACAAAGCGCATAAAAACAAATTTCATAAAAAACTACCAACCTTTCTTTATTAATTTTCAAATTCTTCCAAGCTGTTCTTCCACTTCCTTCCCTGAACCTTTTTGGAAGTGACAGTGAAAAGAATGGAAGCCTTTCTTCCAACTGACCTGAAAAATTTAAACTATAGTATTGTAAATGCAAGCCAAAAGCTTTGCTATTTTTGAAGTGCTACATGTATTTTGAGTATTTCCATAAGTTTACTGACTGATACGATATGATATCCATTTTCATCTCGAGCCACCGAAACGGACCCATTAAGTAAGCCGAATCTTTTAGAGTGGTGTTGATATGACTGTAATGCAAGAAATCATACAGCCTTCAGCATGCATCCAAAGCAGCTTTTGGAAGAAAACTAGGCAGCAGAAAACTGCTGTAGACAAGGTGCTTTTATTTCACTAACTGCTGAATGCCAATTCCAGTTCCTCTGGTTTCCGAGTTAGCAAGCAACTTGCCCGTAGAAAACTTTGGTGGGCCCGTAAGTGGGTACCGCGTGGGTAAGACGGGTTCAGATCGAGTTTTAATAATTCCGAAATTAACGATTCTGAAATCATAATCATTTACATAGGCAGATAAAGGGCAAAGTTCACGAAAAGATTAACAACACTTTCTGCGTATCTCTTTTTAATGGTACCTTGATGAGTTGCGCGAAACTCTGCAAATCGATGTCCATGATCAGCCATAACAATGACGAGTGCATTGTCAAATGCGCCGCTTTCTTTCAGGTTTTTGAGATGCAGCATTGTGTCTTCATCAGCCACTTCCACCAAATTAATGTCATCATGACTTAACAAACTGTGAAAAGCCAAAAGAAATTTTGGAGCACTGTATCTCTCCATAAACTCACTGGTGTACCGAAACCATTCCTGAAATTAACAAACAGGTGAGGGCTTCCATCCCACCGAAATAAATTCACACAGAGTTGATTGCCCATTAATATGTTAGTCAAATTCAGCAAACTATCTCTCCATAGCCAGTTGATGACCCCCGTATTGCCAAAAATACTAAGAAAAATATGCCACCGAGGAATGAAGACTGGAAGAACCATGGACTTTCCCTCTTCGTCTAAGATGCAGATAGCGATGCCCGTTTTCCTGCTCTGGACCTACCTCTTCCGGAGTCTTCGTTATGCACACGCACCGTCAATGCATACGCCTTCCCGTTACGCTCAATCCTTTCGACATGTTCCGTGCAGGCCAACAAAATTGCAAGCTGTTTAGTCCGGTCTCCAAAAACAATTACTTGTAAATCCAGCGACAACTTGCAATTTTAGATACACAGTCACAGACTGAGTATATTCCGAAGGCTGAGATTTTCCAAGAATTTCATTCTCTGTTAGTTTGAAAGTTCGAGAAGGTGATAGTGTATTTCCCTTCTCTGCACTCATTATATGTATTATTACTGCGCAAGAATGAGTTAGCGTTTTTTGCGCTTTCGCATTCCCAGGCGTCCTTCGCTTTACTGGTATCAGATGGTCAGGCGCGAGCAGCGTTTACAGTACCAAGCACAGTCAGAGAGAATGCATCGCGAACTAAGGATTAAGAACATACCTTGTGCAGTGGCACTGATCCCAAACATTTCAGATTACTCAACATTTCCTCCGCTTTTTGGAAAAATGTCCGCATATAGTGATCAGTTGGCTGGTCTTTGAAACCCTGCAATTCTACTGCTTTCGCAATTTTGTCAAATTCAGTCTGGTACTTTAAAAAGTAGTAAATTATTCCTGTGCTCCTTTACAGCATCACTGTAATATTTACAGCTCACTTGATTCTTAGCTTGCTATTACCATACATCTTCAATCGCCGCGTTCAAACGCATCGTTTCATTGCGAGAGGACCTTCCACTACTTACCTAATACTGGACAAATACCATACAACAGTTCGCTCTGTTCATCTGTTATTACTCATTTCTGTTACATTTCCAATCCAATTTTCATTTTTTTTTCAGCAAATTTATTATGCAGGTAGGAAGTTAACGAAGAAAAAAACACTACTTTGAGGCGGTAAGTAAAGGTTCCAATTCTTGCCGCATCCTCGGCGTACAATGTGATATAACCAGCGTCCGAAAAATTCCTCCACACAAACGGGTACACTTCATCAACATATCTGGCTTCCTTAAAACGCTTCCTGAAAACGACGGAATAAAAAAAACTTAGTAGAAAGCGTACCGGCTGCCGGTACAAGGATGCGTTTTTTGCACAGTTCCCCTCGCAGGTTTTTTTCGCCAGTGACACGTTCTTCCTGGCAGATACTTCTAGCTAAAAGAATTGGTACTGGCCAACACAGCTGTTAGAAATTATTACAATGACTTTCAATCCATGCCCAGAAGATCCAACGCTCTGGATGCTTCGGTTGTAGAGCTACGTCAAATTTTACGTGCTCGTACGTACGTGGCTACGTGAATGCTTTCTTCGCCCGCAGTTGCTCAAACACGGTCCTGGGTAGCGCTCAGAAAATTTCAGCACTCTAGTTGCTCTGGTCGCAGAGTTACGTCAAATTTCATGTTTTCGTACGTGAGTGGCAACGTGAATGCTCTCATCGCACGCGCCTACTCAAACACGGTCATGGGTAGCGCTCAGAAAGCTTCAGCACTCCAGCTGCTCTGGTTGCAGAGTTACGTCAAATTCCACATGTTCGTACGTGAGTGGCAAAGTGAACGCCTTCATCGCTCACGTTTGCTCAAACACGGTCATGGGTAGCGCTGAGAAAGTTTCAGCACTCCAGCTGCTCTGGTTGCGGAGTTGCGTCAAATTTCACGTGCGTACACGTGGGACGTACGTGAGACATGAAAGTGATGTGTAAGTCGTTTTTGCGTGTATCTGGTCAAAGGCCTCCGTCGGTTATGCTCAGAAAGTTCAGGTCCTCTGGCTGGTTCAATTCTGAAGTTACAAAAACGCATACGTGAAATTCTCACGTGTTCGTGAGATGCAGAACAGCTGGCAAGTAATTTACTTTTACGGGCACAACAGTAGGCGGCAAGTAAAGTAGCAAAATTGCAGCTCTCTGCAGCTTATTGATCAGCTTAAATCTGGAGTTAATATGATGCCAGTTTAAACTTTTACGTGTGTGTATGTGAGACCTGGGGATGCGTGAAGGCTGAATTTGAAACCTTTGGATTAGACGTGGCCAAGGAACATCTTTGTGGAGTTCCAGCCTTCTAGCATGAGCCGCTTGTGAAAACGCTTTCTCGCCAAAAAAACTTTCACGTGCCCCTACGTGAGAACCACGCAAACCTGAGCGCCCGTTTTGAGGATACGAGCCCGCACGCATGTGTAGATTAAGTCACCAAATTTTCAGCCTTGTAACTTTTGTGGATCTCGATATGAAAATTCGTTACAAACGAACACACAGACACACACATAAACACATAGACACACACACACACACACACACACAGACAACCCCTTGACAATGTGCGTTTTTGCATTGCATAGCTGCAAAAAACGCATAAAAAACTAGTGGGCAATCAATGAAAACTTTGCATCAATCTCCGAAAATTTTTTTTAACCTTGCCAGTGACTCAGACAACGGTAGCTAAGAAAATGTGGAAGAACGTACCGTGTAAGAGGAAGTTCTTCTTCTGTTTTTCCAGTCAAGATTGGTATGAATGCTTGAGGAGTACCATCACCAACAATGTTATATCCTTAAACACCGCCAGTAAAGCAAATTCAACTGAAATAACCCGTGAAAAAGGGTCACTCTATTTAAACTCGTTTCACTGCAGCACACCTTTCTGCTATCAACGCGCCTTTCTTTGGTTATCGTGATCGAATCTGCATTACCCAGATGTCCAGCCTAATGCTACTCCTGGCCTATGTTCCCTTAATTTCTTCCGTCTTTTTTCGAATGCAAATACTATACGCATCCACATTCTCTGTGCTACTTCTTCAGCATGTCTGTTGCGGATCCTCCGGCAATGCCCCTTTATAACAGAAAGAATGTCAAGAAATAATTGCACAGAAGTTTCCAGAGTGCTTCGGATGTAGAGATAACGGAAGCCACAACAACACACATTCAAATCAAACATTTCTTGTATTCAGATTATTTCCAATTAATAAAGCCCATAAATCAACTGTAAGCAAGCCATATTGATAATGCTCCTTTACAAAGTTCCAATATTCATAAATGGCTTTAATCACAAAAAATCTGCCTGAACTGTGCACAAAAACTCCCGGAATTTGAAAGAAAGTTGTAAAATTCATGTAAAAATTGTCGTTTACAATTCTTTTAGGAATAATAAAAAGAAAAATGAAAGCAAAGGGGATGAGGGCTAGGACCACCAGCAGAATGCAGTAAGAGGAAAAACAATATGTAATCCTACAAAATGAAAAAACACCATCGCAAATT